TCTGATTTCATTTTAATTTAGCTGTTTTAGAGCTAGCCTGGAGTGTTCTTTCAGGAGCATGTTTTTTTTCACCCGTCAGTATAAAGAAAGCAGCTATTGGTCGCCCCAACAAGTCACAAATATTGGATGACATAATTGCTTAATTTGCATAAACGATAATGTGCATGTTATTAAAACGCTCCTTTTGTGCACAGTCTCCATCTCCCATCCTCAGAAATTCTATTTACGTCACCCTTCCAAGCACCCTTTCTCTCCTTTTGAAGTCTGCGCCACAGAAATTATGTTGGCGTTTTTGAACTTTTGACTTTACTTTTGTATAATTAAATATTTAAGTCTGTCATTTGGTCATCATTAGGATGTTCCTTGCTGTTTTCCATTTGTGTAAGTAGTAGTTTGCCTGGTAGGTGGCTGTTTTTTCTTTAATTTGAGTGTTTATTGAGCAGATGTTATTAAAAGAAGACCTGTACCATGTTCTTTAAAGATGCAAACCTTTTAAAATCCCATTTTGGGCCAAATGAAAAAACGGGGGGAATAATGTCTGATGATATGCTTCCATTATGTCCTCGGTCCTTCCTGCAGATTTTCCATCAAATATCAACACGCAGTGATACACGATGAGGCTCTATTTGATTCTCCTTCCGCTCTTAATTCTGATAACGTGCACGGATCTGTCAGAGGTGGATGAAGTTCCAGTGGAGGTCATCGCTGACAGCTCCCCCTGCAGCGCTACCTGTGGACTGGGGATTAAAACCCAAACCCTCTGTTTGCTCAAAGACAGCAAGACCGCACTGGAGGATCAAGCAAAGATACCACCCACTCAGCAGGTAAAAAAAGAGAGTCTTTTTTAACGCGGAGGAGGGAAAAATGACATTTCACACCTGTGTTAGGTCATCTCAAAGGAGTCAGAGGACTGCCGGGTCCGTAAAGTGAGGTGTCTGGAGTCCTGGCAGTGTGGACTGACCACCATGACGGTCATGTCGGGGCAGAAAGTGGAGATCGACTGTCTGGGAGAAGTGATGGAGGCGATGGGAAGGTTCTCCTGGAGGTAAGGAGCGGGGTGGGGGAGAGCATGACAAAAGACAGAAGAAGTGATTCAGTTTTTTCTTTTCTGTGCACAATTTCCCAAACTTCTCCAAGTGGTATTATTAAAACCGCGTCATTCAAACGGAACTTGAATGCACTTATGAGCTGTGGATACAGTTCACAGCTTCACAGACATGTTTTAAAAAACATTTTTAAAAATTATTATTATTTTTTTATTTCTGTATTCATTTTTTTATTTTTATTGTGTTTTTAATTTAATTTTTATTTAATTAATACATTTTTAATTTTTTAATTTTTAATTTTTAATTTTTAATTTTTAATTTTTAATTTTT